TGTATTTCTACATCATCTAAAATAACTGAGAACCAACTCTATTAGGATATATTATTAGGATATATTTTATTAAAAAGCTTTTATAAAAAATTATCAAAATCATTGAAAATTTAGAACTTATTCCCCCTTTGATTCTATGTAACTGTTCTGACAGCAAAATGGGTGATAAGTAAAACTGTTCACTGAACAAGTATATATACAAGCTTACAACAAAGAGGTACCTCATTCATGCTCTGCTAAGTTATTTCAACTTTCCTCTCTGGAGGGTCCAAAAGAAAGCAATGTGTAAGACCAGCAGGTGGTGTGGTGGTTAAGGCACTGGACACTCACATGGCCAAACACAGTTCACGTCCTGGACCTAGTGGCTTGAAAATCACACCAGACCTGTGTGTATGTATGTGTGTGTCCAAAATCCTGAGAGGAGAATGGAGGAGAAAGGATTGTAGTGTGGATCCCTTCTCTTACCATTAACAAAATCAACTCAAAGTGGATCAAAGATCTAAACCTAAGACCTCAAACTATAAAATTACTGGTGGAAAACACTGAGGAAACTCTGGGAGACATCAGGGTAGGCAAAGACTTCTTAAATAAGACCCCTAATGCATAAACCATATTCCCAAAATAGACAAGTGGGATTATATCAGATCAAGACATTTCTGCACAGCAGAAAACACAGTAATTAGTGTAAATTGACAACCCTCAGAATGGGAGAATATTTTTGTAAGTTATGCCTCAGACAAGAGACTAATAACCAAAATACACGGGAAATTCAAGCAGCTTATCTAAAAAAAAAAAAAAATCAACCCAATTAAAAGAAGGGAAAATGAGCTGAATGAACAACTCTCTAAGTCCTATGAACAGTCAAAAAGCATATGAAGAAATACTCAACAGTCATCATCATAAGGAAAATGCAAATCAAAAGTATAATGAGATACCACCTAACCCAATTCAGAAAGGCTAAGATAAAAAAAAATGATAAGTGCTGGTGAGGCTGTGGTGAAAAGGCCACTCTCCTACACTGTTGGTGGGAATATAAATTTGTACAGCCACTGTGGAGATCAATAAGGAGGTTCCTCACAAACCTACAAATAGAACTGCCATATGATATAGCAATTCCACTCCTGGGTATCTACCCAAAGGATAGAAAAACTCTCAATCAGAAAAGTGCGTGTGGGACCAGCAGTCAGAGTAATGGCTTATGTCACAGAGCTCCCATGTAGTCGACCGCAGTTCGAGTCCCAGACCCGGTGACTTAAACTCATGCCGGGCACATGTGCATGCATGCCCAAGATCCCAAGAGGAGAATGGAAGAGAAGGGATTGCGGTGTGGCCATCCTCCTGGGGGGTGATTTCTCACTTTCTGTCTCTCTCTGTCTTTTTGGCAAACGCACATACCCTATAGCAAAAACCTCTCCCAAAAAAGAAAAGTGCTTGCACATCTATGTCTACTGTGGCATTATTCACAATTGCTAGGACTTGGAGTCAATTCAAATATCCACAAACAGATGAATGGACTGAAAAAGTATGGCACCTATACTCTCTGGAATACTACTCAACCATAAAAAACAACAAGATCCTAGTATCTGATAGAAAGTGGATTAATACGGAAGATTTACTTCTGAGTGAAGTGAGCCAGACTATGAAGAAGAGACATAGTATGTCTCCACTTAATATATACTGATTGTCTACACTCTATGGCAGAAACTGAAATATTAGACGATATAGAAGCATGGAAAATGGTTATGGATACTGGAGACAGTGTGGCAAGAGGATGAGAGTTAGGGAAGAGTGAGAGGAAAGGAATCAAGGAGAAAAACAGAGAGGGAAGACATTTAGGGGACACAAAAATGGAGGATTGTCTGTTGATAAAGTATACGATATCTTCAATTGAACTTGGGTGAAGTGTATTCAGGTTGGGTAATTCATTTTACAAGCTGTAGTGATGTATGATGATTGAATGTGTAAAATAAATTATAACAATAAAAATAATTTTTTAAATTGGCTGAGAAATTATAAAGCTTTTTTGTTGTGAAAAATGCATAATTATTAAAATGTGAACACAAATAAAGTTTCATGAAGTTATGAATTAAGAGAAAACAGTATCACTTACTACCTGCTACAGTCTCCTCGATTCCACGGAGCTTTGACTGTACTGAAAGGCAGCCTGCTGCATTGGCTACTTGTAGATTAACCTCATGGATGGGCCATACTGGGGCATAAGAAGATGGCTGTCAAAGAGGTCTGGGCTTGCACAGCAGACTTTGACCACAAAATTGCCATATTAACCGAGTAGCTTACTTATGGCCCTTTTAATTGACTACGTTGTCAAATCTCCAATTAACCTCTCTCTCGAATCTTTTCCCACAACTTTCCAAACTGTATTTTCCTCTTACTCCATTGAATATTTTTGTGTAATAATGTGACAATAGCAAAATACTACTGAAATTAGTATATGAACATGATTTTAACTCCCACCTCTACTTCCTACTTACATCGAACCATGAGGTCAAATATCCATTTGACCTCTTAATTAAAAATAATTAAAAAGCTATTACTGGCAGTAGAAATTATACCCTCTTAAATACTGTAATAAAGCTTCTTAACTGTCCTTTTCAAGAGAAATTCATTTTATTTTATTATTTTATTTTTAAGAGAGATTTTTGTGTGCACTCACCAGAGAAACAGACAGAAAGCAAGCAATCACTCCCAAAGGGGATGACCACACACCGCAATCCCTTCTCCATTCTTCTCTTGGGATTGGGGCACACACATGCATACTCACATACCCAGCATGAGGTTTTTTGTTTGGTTTTGTTTTTGCTTTTAATGCAGCCAGGTCCAGGACTCAAACTGTGGTGGGCTATGTGGGAATTCAGTACTATAACCATTAACACCATCTGCTGGTTCTGAAAGTCTTTTTAAATGTTAAATATCAGATCTTTGAACTGAGATTAGCTTAAATTGCTTCATTTTCTTCAATCACCTATAACCTATTTCTTATACCTTTCAAATGCAAGCAATATTGAAGTATGAATTTTAGTGTATATGTTCAAAATGTTCCAAATTACTATATATTCTCAAAGGAAAAGACTCTCAGATCAATAAAGGTACGTTTCTAAGCACTGCGCTCTCAACATCCCACATTTATCAAATAGCAAATGTTTAATAATAAATAGGTACTATAAGCCGGGCACTGTTTCACACCCTGGGGTCAGCAGTAAACAAAGCAGGCATAACCCCCATCCTCGGGAATGAACTGGAATCTCTACCCACTGTGTTTAGAAGGCTACAAAAGGAAAAAAAATCAGAAACCCTGAAGACTAAAACAGCCTCAAAAATCTGGTGACTAATCTTATTCAAAAATATTGTAAAAGTATGAAAGAAGGGGATAAAAAACACCTTTAGGAAAAAAAAGAGTTTCAAGCCAAAACTCTTTATAGAAGAACATAATCATTTTGATTATTAGTATATTCTTTAAAAAGATATTACATGCTGGACAATCAGAAGTTTACTATCTAAAGATATATATATATATATATATATATAGGAGTACTAAATCATAGTTCAAAATTAGACTACTAATTGCTAGTTCTCTGCTTCTGCAGATAAAGACATTTGAAAAATGAAGACAACTCAGTGGAATGACTAAAGAAAATGCGAACT